GTATATCCTGCGGCATCCGGTATAGTGTCAGAGCTTTTACTTGAGAATGTGTAAAAAACCCTGACAAATCTGAGTTCTAGGCCTGGGGCACTCATAAAATCAGAGTAAGGCCAGGAGTCACTCGTGAAAATCATACTAAAAAACCAAAGATAGGCCCTGGCGGCAACCCCGTTATAGCAGTGTACGCCTGTAAGGAATTAGTAATTCCTTACTGAGGCTTGCTACAAGGCGTACGACTCGAACAGTCCCAAACCAGCGGTAGGGTTCCAGACCTTTCAGTTCGAGCCTCGTGGGCCTTTCCGGACCTCGCTTCGGCACATCGAGGCCCTTCGACACCTTTCCCAAACCTTCCGATCCTACGTCCAGGATCGCCCTAGGTTTTATATATATTGTGTTGTCTTTCATTTGATTGTCATTCACTCGTTCACAGTTTCGCCATTGCCCTCTGCAATACTCGGCAGTCCCATTCATAACACTTTAGAGCCACTTTCCTCACCCGCTAGGCTTCCGAGGGCAGAATATTTTTTGGGAGGGGGAAAAGGCGGATGGCGCTACAGAAGGCACGGCGGTTGTCATGAAGCATGATATGATATGCTTCAACAGCTGCGTCTGCGTGGGCTCATGAAGAGACCCGACCCGAAGGGACGAGCAGGATTCGCTCGGCCATGCCCTCGAGGGCGGTTATGTCCAACCTGACATGGCAAAGATTTTGAAGAGTGTTTCCGGTATGCTGTTTATTTCGCATATCGTTAAAAGAGTTTCGGTTGCTGTTTCGGAAATTTTGGCAAGCAGCAACGACGATTCGGATTGGTGTCCGAATGGAGCGAGGAGCTCGTCACGAGACAACAAGCTCGTGGATATCCCCAGGCGAAGAGGATTTTGTCACGAGCGCGTGTAGCAGACGTGGCTGTATGGTGAAGTGTAGCTGATGTCAAAGGGCCCGGCGTTTCCGGCAGGCGACACGCAGGTGATGACGGGACTTCGGAGCTGTTCACGGACATGCAGTTGGAATTTTCGGCACGACCGAGATCGCACGTGCAACAAGTGGGGCTCAGGCACAGAGCAGTCAGAGGGTGGCAAACCTCGGACTTTCGCATGACCTGCCCGCCTGGAAGAGCAATTTCGTCTGCCCTGGAGATACTGTACAAGCACAGCGAGAGCAGTTTCCCTACAAGGAAATTGTTTTTGTGGTCAGAAAATTACACTCCACGGTCAACGGAGGAGGACGAAGACCTACCCCTGGGTATTTACTTCAGTGACTCCACGGAGTCACCGCAAAGGACCAACGGCAAAGAAATGAAGCAGTGGAAGAAGAACGACTGGGAACAGCTGGTTAAGAGTCAGCGGCAGACAGATCCCCCGACTGACTTGGCTGGATCGCCCGATTTTCAGCACCACCACCAGGTACCAGTTCGGGTTTAAGACTACTCCGACGGTTTTGGCCGAATAAAGGTGGTGAGCCAGCGGATCACCCTGTGCTGGTGGATCGAATTATTTTCGGCGCTACACGACAGGCGAACGATTTGTGAAAATCGGACGCCGTACAGTGGGAGGCGCGAGAAGAAGATTAACGAAAAAAGCGAAGGTTTTTTGCTAGAGCGATCGGACGGTACCCGAAGCTCGAGTCTGATACGAACGGCGAGGATGTGTCGCTGCATTCGACGGAGTTGCGAGCTTTTGAACGAACGCGCGCGGTACTGTTTCGAGAACGACGAACGTGGGCGTTGGGTGAACAGCGGCCTACGGGGGTTATATTGTGGAAGCAGCAGTTGAAGAAATTTGCAGCAGTTGGGAGCAGATTTCTTTAGCGACGGTTTTTTCAGGGAGGGGAAGGCAAATCCCTCACGTAAGCTGCAAAGCGGTTGCCCGTGAATTAGACTGATTAATTCACCCAACTACGATAGCGTTTGCGCTTACCTGAGTACGGGCACACGACAAATTCACCCCTTATCTGGAGTGTATTCATCAAATGAAGCTTTCAGGACGACAAGGGTTACTGTTGCAGTGGGAAACGCGTGTTGCCGTCAGGGAAAATTTGGAGTCACGCGGGAGTCTTCAAGGATTATTCCTGAGTTGCGGGGCTATAATCGAAGATTCGGCTGCGAGGACTCATTCGTGGATTTACCTGGACGGGCGCAAAGATGGGTGAACGTCGGCGCGTCGCTAAAACGTCGCGTATTTTACGGGTGGGAATTCTTCAAGTTTTTGGCTGGAGCGGTAGCTGGGGTCACGGGTACCTACCGAGCTGTGCAATGGTTTAAATACCAGCATGGTTAGTCTGTGAAACTGCAGAAAATGCGCTTGTCGTAGGTGAGAACTATACCCGAGTTTTTCTGGGGTACCTGCCGTAGCCGCGCGATGGGTGAACGTCTGCACGGCAAACCAGCCACGAGGAGTTTCGGAATTTACAACACGAAGCAGATTGACGGCATTCTGCGGAGCAAAATTATTATCTACGGTGCCGGATGGAGCTAGAGTCTATGTGGCGCAGCTGCCCTGCGTTATAGGGTCGCGCTGAAACTAGCCCCGTCGAGCAGAGGTCGAAGATACTTACAATTTTCGGGTCTGAAGAAACTTGAAGCAGGGTACTTTCGGCATCAACAACAGAAAAGTTTCTTTTCATGGAGGGGGGAGAGAGCGGCTGCGCAACAATTGTTTTTTTGTTTGTTTGTTTTTTTTTTTCCCATCGACAGTTTGACATCCACTGCATGAGCATTGACGGACAGATGCTGTTTGACCGACTGAATCGACGGACGGATTCGAGTTGGCCTTTCAGGAATTTCGCAGGAGTTTGCGAAAGTTGAAGGTGTGTTTACATTAGCCGCCCAAGATGCCATCGACTACGGTTACTGGACCGGTTGAGCTTTCGTACATGTGCTGATAGAATTCGCTGACTTTCGTGAGACGCGGACACGTGTTCTCGTATGTGTCGCGAATGACCTCGCATTTGATGAATAGCTGGAGTTCGTTGACTTTGCGAAATACGGACGCGTGTTTCTGCGAGTTTCACGACTCCCGTGGAATTAAACGAGGAGCTATCTACAGATACGAAGCTACCGACAAGTTTGGCGCATGCAGAAGATTCGGCTCGCCAACTTGCAGCAGGGTGAATAGCGTAGTGTTACTGTGCGGATACAGTACAGCGGATATGCCATTAGGTCCATGACATTGTACTCCATATAATACTCTAAATTCTGGAATTCGATACGATCCACTACGATGTACTCCGTCTGTACGGTATACATCTACTGTTAGACTTCGCTAAAAAAGCGCAATAAACATAGTGACCAGTCATGACAGTCGCATAATGCCACCGACCATCGAGTCGCGCCACCCGAATTGGGTGCGATTTCAGCATGCGAGCTTCGCCAACCAACCCGCGAGTACGAGCTCGGAAAATCCCCGAGAATTGTGTTTGGTTTTGCCCAGCCAATACGCGCTTGCTAGGGCGATGCTACGTAATCATGACAGACCTGGGAGGGCGAAAACAAAATCACAGACAGCCCGCTAGTACCCCCTCCACCTGGCACTTTTGCATACGCGCTGGCATGGGCATGCCTACGTACCCCCTTTTCATCCATTATGTCTTACGATTACGGTCCTATTCCAATCCTTGTGTCGAGCATTCGGGGCGTTCTCCATTTTTTTTAACCAATCACGTAAATATTCAAGCTTCCTGCGTGACAAGAACAGGTCCGTCCCGATTACGAAACCACGACCCTTGTTCCCTCAATCACCATTAACAACTGCATACTTCGAAAACGATTTTCTAAACGGTTTTTTTTTTTTTTTTTTTTTTTTTTTCCCGCTTTCGTAGAAACGTGTGGTTGGTTAACGAAACCGCTAAATGAAGTCGTCAAAATTTCGCTCCGTTTAGCCCTTTTCGTGTTACCACGAAAAGGGTTTTCCAAATTATTTGTTTTGCGTGTTTTGAGCCTGCGCTGCTTGTGGGGAGGTCGAGAACGAGGTGTTACTTCTTTTTGCCCGCGTGTTTCTGACCAGACGACAAATTCGCTGAAGAGGCCACATGAGCCCTTACATGACACGGCTAAATCGCTGGTAACCTGGCCCCAGTGGCCAATACGCCAAGGCACCCATCGTGAACAGAACGAGTAAAACGGCCTACACCACCCCACCTAAAATCCCTCGTGCTACTCTATTACCCATTTTGCCCGTTGCGTACCGCTCCTATTCGTCGTAGTCCATATATGCGAGTCGCGGATTTGGAGCATAGAGCATACCCGCTGTACACGACGACGGGGTTTGTAATTCTTAGCGAAGGACTCGCTGGAGACAGGGATGCTGTGGTGCGGTAGTATCCCTACTGCCCGTTCGGTTATCTGGGTAATTCGCTCAAGATTCGACGGCTACGATTGATTGCGATCGTTTCGATGTGTTTCGACTGTTGGATGAAGTTTCCTTGAAAAAGCTCGAGATTCTCAACAGTGGTGGCTTCACTACCAGGCCATCAGATTGGTTTTAGGGAGGCTGATTGCTCAGGGTCGCCCATGTGAGAGCCCATGTTTTTCAGGGTCGGGTTTTTGGCGTGGCATGTTTTTTCAGGCCAATTGTTTTTTTTAGTCTGACTTATCAGGCCTACATTTTTGTAGTTTCTGATTCTTAGGTCGGATCGGACTTCACTGCGTACAATTCTTCTCGTCAGATTCCTGCATGATTTTAACTAAGGACCAATCAACCCCCTCACACCTCCTCCAGCTCGCCTCGAAGTTGCGTGATTCTGGTTGTGTGATTCTGGTCAAGGACCAATCACGCCCCCCACACCTGTTCTAGCTCGCCTTGAAGTTCCGTGATTGTGGTCAAGGACCAATCACGCCCCTCACACCTGCTCTAGCTCGCCTCGAACTTGCGTCATTTTTTTGTCAAGGACCAATCATGCCCCTCACACCTGCCCCACCTTGCCTCGAACTTGCGTGATTCTGGTCAAGGACCAGTCATGCCCCTCACACCGTGCCATGTCATCACCTGTGCCATGTCATCACCTGTGCCATATTGCACGCAGGAGTTGCAGAATTCAGGGCAGAGCGAGTCGCAGAAAGCATTGGGAGGAGTAACCAGCATGGGGCAAAGAGTGCCGTTTGGAGGGCAGGTGAGTGTGCTGTCTACACGCCTGCAGGTATGCGATGAAGCAGACATGCATGGGCAAGGCAGGGAGAAGGAAAAGGAGGGGGTGCAAGGGAAGGACAGGAGTGGCGGTGCATGGCAGTGTGAGACCTTGGCCACACAGACAAAAGAGGAATCAGGGACAGCCAAAAGTAGACTAGAATGAGAGGAGTTCATTTAAAAGTCTCAACGAGCCATGCAGATTGTTGAGACTGGGGTATACTATAAAGGGTATGGAGATTGCGCCGTTTTACTTGATAGTCATACATATTGTTACATCTAGATCGGCAAGAACACAAGCAATGTGAACGCCCATCAGAGTAATCCTTGAGGGGGGCTCACCAAATGCAGTTGGTGAAAGGAGGTAGTGCAGTGCAGTGCATGGAGGGAACAAGTGGTCAAGCTTGTCAGTCACAGGGCTGTTGGCCACCCGCACGTGCAGCTCACAACTCACAGCACGCTGAGTCCCGGAATGTGGCCGAGCGCAGGGAGGACGCCTGTGAGCCGGTTGTTGGTCGCTTGCCTACCATGCAATGGCCACGAAGCAACGCAAGGCAACGTGACAGTAAGGTGTGGCAGCTGGAGTTTCACACGAGCTCCATCAGGCATGGGGAGGGCAATGCTGCATCGGGCTGGTTGGCAGATGAAAAAAGCTGGAGCGTCAGGTAGACATGGTTATATCGCATCGCATCGCGCGATAAAATAATCGCATATATCGCAAAAATGCGATAGTGATATGTCATTTTCCAGAATTTATATCGCAGCAATGCAATGCGATGCGATGCATCTCGCCCGATATAATTGTATCGCATCTTTATCGCAGGGTTTTTCATGCGATATAAAAATATCGCACACGATAGCGTCGCGGCATTTCGCCAACAAGGGGGTTGGAGGTGTTGTAAATATATATATGTATATCTCCAACCAACATGCATGCCTAGATTAGGAGGTGTAGTCTTTATATTTATTGGGGGGTTGTTGGTTGGGTTGACCAACCCCACATTTGGGTTGGTCAAGATTGGATTTGGTCTTAGACATTTGGTTTGCACTTTTCCAACCAAATGGTCCTAAGTAGACATGGGCAAAGTGCGATTGCGATTTTAAATCGCATCGCGCGATTTATTTTTTGGAAAAAAAATACATCGCACATCGCGTTTTGCCTGCGATATATTTAAAAATCCCAAGCGATGTTTTATTAAATCGCGCGATGCGATATAAAATCGCATCGCATTTATAAAAGTTTTCAAAACAAATCTGCATAGCTGGAAAAAAAAAAACCTTCAGAAAACTGGAACACGTGATGGTGCGGCCATTGACGAATAAAAATAGCGTTCAAAGTGGGTTTCACACAAATGCGAGCCCCGTGGTAAGGGCCCGACTTTCGTAGCTTAAAAAAAGTAAGTGCATGGGTTTCAAAAGGGGGGGGAGGGGGGGGAGGGGGGGAGGGATGAGGGAGGGAAAGGGAGGAAGCGAGCATGAAGCATAGTCATCATCGGTCCAGCACGTTGTCAATATAAATAAGGTGATGTCCTATCAGTTCCCGAACCCCCCAGCAGCACGGTAGCCCTCAAAGCCCTGGACCTATCTCAAGGCCCAGCTCCCACGCCTCGTCGGCCGTCTCGACATCTTTGGCTGCTACCGCGCCATCAAATCGCTGTCCAGGGTGAGAGGCAATCCATGACTTCAGCATCATGCAAGCACGGATTCGCTCCGCACCCAAGCGGTAGCGCTGCCAGTGGATGAGGTTGCGGCCCTGTGAGAACAGGCGCTCGTTAGCCAGTGGATGAGGTGGCGCTAGGAACGCCATTAACTCCTGCAGTTTCGCCCACTCATCGTCTGTAACGGCCTTCTGGTCCAGGTCGGCCTGCTCCTTCTTGTTACACCCCTCGAGTAGAGCAAACAAGGGTGTGGGGGAGGGGGAGGAGTGGGGAGCCGGGAACGGAGGGGGGACGGGGGGCAATCTTTCTGGCAGTGGCTTGGAGTGTGCCGGGGGGGACACGGCCGGGCGATGGAGGTAAGTAGGCGGCAGAGGGTTTGTGGTAACCAAGATACATGACATACCTCCCTAGCCACAAAGGCCCTGATTGGGCCTTTGAGCTCGATCGCTCGCCGCAGCATGGCGTGGGTGGAGCCCCAGCGCACCGGATTGTCCTGTTTCAACTTCAAGGGTTGCTTCCCAGGGAACTGGTGACGCTGCTCCTTCTCGAAGGCCGCCGTCTTGGTCACTGAGAAGCCAATGCGCGACGCGAGGTTGCGCAGCTTCTTCAGCGGCGCTTCCACCTCCGGCACCCCACCCATAGCCTCCTGCACTGCGAGGTTGTTGACATGGGCGAGGCACCTGCACCAAGCACAAAGTTTTGGAGGTTTAAAGGGATGACCACGCCTTGTCGAAGGGTTAGGGCAACTACGGCCTGCTTGGTGGAAAATCATAGGCAGCGAACAATGGCAAGATGTCATACCGGACGTGAGCAGCCCTACCGAACAAGGGGGTTGCGCGCGTCTTCCCATCTCCCTGATCCCCTGCCTTGAGAAGATTGAATGCCGCCCCGTTCACAGACGCGTTGTCGGTCGTGAGCGCCATACACCGCCCGGCAAGCCCCCAATCCTCGATCACCTCCTCCAGGATGTTGGCGACCATCCTCGCTGTGTGGCCGGCAGGAAGAGGCCTGAAGTCCAACGTCGCTTGCTTCAGGGTCCACTGTGCATCGATGTAATGCGCACTGACGCCCATGAAACCGATGTCGTTCTCCGCCGACCAAATGTCCGTCGTGTAGGAGATCGCACCCACCCCCTTGTCAGCCGCCAACTCAGCCTTGGCCAACTCCTTGCACTGTGCCGCCTGTCGCATGATGAGACGAGCCAGCTTGTGCCGCGAAGGAATGACTCCCGGCCGAGCAAGCCGGGGGTTGGCCTCACCCATGAGGCGGCGGAACTGATGGAAGGCGAGAAAGGGTGAAACAAAGAGGTGAGGCCATGACGAGTGGATGGCGAGGAAGGGTGAAACCAAACCGGATAACGTGACACAAGAACACGCCGTGGGGAGGGTGGCTGGGACTCACACTGTCTCGCTCCACTGTGCAAAACGCAGAGTCGGTGTCGACAATGTACTCGACGAGCAGCTGCTCCCAGCGCGGCAGATCAAGGGGTTTCTGCATGTAACGCATAATCCCGCGCCCCCTCTCCCGGCCGACCGAAGGCCCGTCATCCTCCGCGTCCTCCAACTTGGGCCAATATGCCGATCCCCACCAGGTACTGCCCCCGTCGGGGACCTCACCGTCCCCAAACCCCCCCTTTGGTAGCTCGTCCCCGACCTTCATTTCCCCCTCCCGCCTTAGCCGCATCAAGATGTCCCAATGAGCCCTGTGGTAACCAACTATGTGGGACCGCCCGTTCGATGTGGTGCGGCTCGCGAAGCTCACTAGGAAGTTGCACATCCTACACCTCCTCCAACCCGGTGCCGCCTCCTCCATGTCAAAACAAGCCGCGACACACAGTCGAGGTTCCTTCTCCACCTCCGTGGAGGAGCCCACATGACCCTGCTCAGTCGTCCCATGACCCTCACCCCGGCCACCTCCCGCCCTTCCCCCCCCCCTCCCGGCATCCATGGGAGCCCGGGCCGCACCTCGGACCCTCCCTCCTCCCCCTCCGCTCCCCTACGCCTCGTGGAGGTATCCGGGTGACATGCCAGGCCTGCCGACATCCTCGCGCAGCAGTCCCTTCCGCCCCCTGGGCCGGCCACGGGGGCGGCCCCTGGGCGCCCCCCCCAACCCCCCATCTCCCTCTGCAGGTTTACGTGCCTTCTTCCCCGAAGAACCGACCGAGGGAGAAGGCCCGTCATCCACCTTGCGCTTCCCCTTCTCCTCGCCGCCAGCTCCCCCATCCTCCTCCCCATCCCCCTCCTCCTCCGCCACAACGTCGTCGTCATCACCCTCCTCCTCCTCAGCTTGCTCCTCATCCCCCTCCTCATAGGCAGTCCGCACCCCCTCCGCCGATGCTCGGATCCGCCAAGCATCCCCGTCCTCCGCCTCATCCCTAACGGCCGCCTTGCCCGCAAGGGCGGGCTCCGTTGCGACGGCCGCGCCACTCCCCTGCGTCCCAATCCCGCCGTTGCCTGGGGCTCCTCCCATGTGCCCGTCGCAAGCTCGCCTTGGCAGATAAGATTCAGATTCAGGGCGAATTTCGAGTAAGGCTGATTCGTCAGGCTCGGTAAAACAAGAACATACTATTTTTCAGGCCTTAGAAAATGGGAACACATAAATTTCAGGTTTGACAAAAATCAAAACCTGAAAAATCAGGGTATGCCCTAGAAAACACCCTGATATACAGGCTTTCAGGCCTTTTTGGCCTGACTTCTGAGGCCCTGTTCACTACTACGAGATTCAGTTAGAGTGTGTGTAGTTTTGTTTCTTTGTGTGCTTATCTGGACGGGGGAGAGTGTAAGGAATTAGTAATTCCTTACTGAGGTTTGCTACAAGGCGTACTACTCGAACAGCCCCGAACCAGCGGTAGGCTTCCAGACCTTTCAGTTCGAGCCTCCTGGGCCTTTCCGGACCTCGCTTCGACACATCGAGGCCCTTCGACACCTTTCCCAAACCTTCCGATCCTACGTCCAGGATCGCCCTAGGTTTTATATATATTGTGTTGTCTTTCATTTTATTGCCATTCACTCGTTCACAAATTCGCCATTGCCCTCCGCGCTACTCGGCAGTCCCATTCATAACAACGCCTTACTGACTAAAACCCGTGATAAGGAAATACCATTTCTCTTACATCACGCGTATCGGAAGTAAGCATTGCCGCACTCCACTCCCCTCATCCATTGATGGTCGAGCAGACCCGCGCCCTAGATCCTTCCTGCACTGCCCCCGCGCGTTCTCTGTGGCCCATCGCTGTCGTTCACCGTTCCCGCTGTGAATCGTCGCCGCCTTTTGTCGCCGCTCGTCTTCGGCTGCGCGGCGGCCCGCGTCAGGCCTCGCCCTCTTCCTCCCGCGCCCTCGTCCCTGCGCGCCTGCCGTCTTAGCCGCTCGCCCACCAGCGGGTCGGCCTGTCGCCGCGCTCGAGGCTCCTGGCGCCCCACCCGCGCGCCGAACCCTAACGCCCACCCGCCACCTCCCGCTCATTCGCGCCCGCGCACCTCCCCATGGTGCGCTCGCTGCCCCTCTGCGTGCGCGCGGCGCCCTTGCCTGGCCGTGCGTTGCTTCTCGCGTCCTCGCAGCGCCGCCTCCCACTCCTCGCGGCCACCCCGCGCGCCTCTCGCTCGCCCTTATTCCTCACCTTCCCCTGCTTCTGCATGTACCCACTCCTCCCTCCCTCCCCCTCCCGCAACGACTCTACTCCCCGTTCTCCCCCCAATCCCCTCCGTCCCGCCGGCAGTCCGCGGCGGCGGGCAGCAGCGGCGGGGGCGGCGAGGCGGCGTCGCTGTGGTCGTACCTGCTGTGCGTGCGACACACGCTGCACGCCGCGCTCTGCCTGCAGGTGCGTGCCCAGCAACGCGGGTAGGGACAGGGGTTAGGGGCAGGTAGGCGGGGGGTGGGGGCAGGTAGGCGGGGGTTAGGGGCAGGTAGGCGCATGTGGTATTGCAGCAGAGAGCAAAGGGCGGTGGCAGGCTTTCAGTTTTGCGGGGTGGGTGGTGGGCACGGCGTGGCGGGTCATCCCCCCGCCCTTGCTGTTCGCTCGCACCAAAGCCCCTTGCTACTCACAAGTCTCGCTGCAGTGCGCAGCGCACGCGCGAGGGGCAGTGGCGGGATAGTGGCGGGAAGTGCTCCCCGTCGCACTGGGGACGCCGCACGGATGGAGCGACAAGGGGTGAGGGACGCGGCGAGGGCAGCAGGGCGAATGGGCGGGTTCCCCCGGCGCACAAAGCGACACGGCACTGGGGTGACAGCCAGGAGCGAAAGAGCTGGGAGGCTAGGGTGCGCCATGGTGGCATGTTGAGGGAATGTTTGAAGCTCAGGTGTGCCTTGATCCATGCACGTGCACGTGAGTGCAGTGCATGGCTCGTGTGACTTGTACGCCCCACCCCCTTTGCCGCGTGTGCTCAATGTGGTGCGGGAGTGACAAGGCAGGCAGCAGCAGGCCTTTGTTATTCCTCACTCGCACTTGCTGCGCGGTGCAGGCACGTGCAGTGAGTGCAGGGCAACAACCCTTGGCGGGGCTGACGGGGTGCACAGGCAGGCTGTGCTGGGGTACGAGGCAACACGGGGAACAAGTCTACTCTGGGTGTGGCCATGCACCCATATTCTGCCACTGCTAGCTCTCTCGCTTTCCCCCTCTTCGCCTCTCTCCCCCACTTCCCCCCCATCTGTGACTCCCTTCCCCCCTGTGTGCGAGGGCCAGGAGTTCCCGTGCCAAGATGTGGAGCGCTACTCCAAGCCAGAAGTCGAGTTCAGGTGCTGCCACTGTGCTGCCACTGTGCTGCCACTGTGCTGCCGCGCTGTCCCACGCTCTCGTCCGCATTCCACGGTCATCAAGTGCGATGGAGGCCCACACATCCTTGTTCTCCTCTGTCTATCGTTCCATGACGGGGAGCTGCAGCATCGTGCGCCGCACCTCTTCACCTCGCCCACCACCGTGCCACCATTCACTCCCACACCACTCACTCCCTCCCCTCCCACTGCCGCCCCTCTGCCTACTCCACTTGCACATGACTCATCCATTTGTTTGTGTGCCCTTGTGTGTGCGTGTGCACCGGCATTGTGACGGTGATTCTATGTTGCCCAGGACAAGTCCCGAGCTGCTCCTCAATCCGGTACTTCCCTCCGCCCTCCTCATGCACCATCCAAGCATCCGCTAGATCTGTTCAACAAGTCTTGAGTCCGCGTTCGACTCTTATTTTCAAGTTTCTTCGAGTTTGTAAGGCTGGATTTAAATCCTCGAATCTTTTAGACAATTTACGACTAGAGTTCGAGTCGAGTCCGTTTTGTATTCCGAGCCATTATCGCTTGTTTTATGACCTGTGTTGAAACGCCGAATAGGCAAGCTCTCGAGGTAGCCTAGCTTGCAAACAAAATTTCTCGTTTACTTTCCTTTCAGCCATGTTGCTCAATCGTACTTTAATTTCTCGACTGATACTACTGGACAAGCTGTTATTTGTGAGATCCTCCTTCCCTTCCAATCCCTCTTCTGCAAGGTGGAAAAAATCGGCAGGCCGTTTTATTCGATCGTTTTTTTCAGTGATTTTGGGGAAAAAACGCCGAATTTTTAATAGGAGACTCTGAAGAAAAAAAAAACGTAGAAAGCCTGAACGTCTGCCAAGATCCGCGCATTCTGTCCATCGAAACGCGAGACACGTGCATTTTGGCTGGGAGATACCAGATCCACGCATTTTAGTGGGCGAAATGTCAGATCTGTGCATTTCGTCCACCAAAACGGGGGATCCAACACATTTTGGCAGGAAAAATGCCAGATCCGCGCATATCAGCTGGCGAAATGCCAGATGCTCGCATTTCGCCAGTATTTTTTTTTTATTATTATTTTGGAAAAAATCGGCATTTTTTTTTTACCAAAAAAAAAACAGATATCTTCAACCGTTTTATACCGAATAAAACGGCCGGAAAATACGGTACCGTAGCAAACGGCCTGAAAATAGGGGGAAAAAAAAAAAAAAAAAAAACGTTTTTTTTAAACCCTGCTCTTCTGACCCTTGAATTCCCCTTTAAATTCCATTCGGGTCGCCTCTGAATCCCCTTCTATTTCCCTTTCGACTCCCCTTCCAATCCTTCCTCGAATCTTTTGTCCAGTCCGAGTCTAGCACTCTTCAGGTGCATGCACTCTTCCCCAGGTGCATGCAGTCCTCCCCAGGTGCATGCACTCTTCCCCAGGTGCATGCACTCCTCTCTAGGTGCATCTGTGTGACGGCGAAATGCCTCTTTGCTGTAGAACGGCACCTCATTGTCCGCTCTCTACCTGTGTTATCCCAGCTCGAGTCCCTTGTGTGCCATCCTCCCACGTCACGTCCACCCAGGCCCCCACTGCCGCTCATTTTTTCTATATCTGCCTCGCTGACCGGAGGCCCCCAGGTGGTGATTTGCCGCAACGAGTCTGAGAGGTGCCTCATCGAGGGGTCTATCAACTCAGTGCGCGTGAGCATCAAGGTGAGGGAGCAGCAAGGTGAGCGAGCAGCAAGGTGAGCGAGCAGCAAGGTGAGCGAGCAGCAAGGTGAGAGAGCAGCAAGCTATGGAGCAAAGCAGGGATGTGGGAAGGCAGGGAACAAAAGGTCCAACATTTCCCACCCTGCACTACCGATTAGGGTGAAGTCTTGCGCTAGCAGGCTTGCCTCCCTTGCACCTGGAGCCACCTCCCTTGCACCTGGAGCCACCTCCCTTGGACCTTGCTCTCGTGCTCGTGGTGGTGTTGGCGTTGACCCCATGTTGTTTGAGTGTCCTGTCCATCCAAGCGCTTTTGTCCTCCGTGCCCCTGTGCGGCGCGGTGCGGTGGCAGGTGAAGCACGCGGACGAGATGGAGAACCTGCTGGGCGCCAAGTACCTGTCCTTCCTCTCCATGCGCGCCGAGTCCTTCCTCGTGCTGCGCAGAAAACCACTGCCGGTACGCACCACCACTGCCAGTATGCACTACCACTTTCCATTGACTGTGTGTCTTGGGAAACACTTCTAGAGCTCATGTCCTTGCGATGCTGCCAGCAGTGCAAGTTGCATTGGATTCCCGGCATTTCCAGTTGCTCGTGCACTTCCAGGCACGGCACGTCAACGCCCCCGCTCTCACTCCTGCCCCACACATGCCTCCCTGCCTCATAGCCTTGCCTCGCCCTCTCTCATCTCCCCTCTTTCGTTTTTTGTGTCTCGTCCCTCTGTACCCATTGTCTCCCCGTCCCTTCTCCGTGTCCCCCCGTGTCTTGCGCATGCCCCCCCCAGGGCTACGACCTGTCGTTTCTGATAACGGCGGAGCACTGCCAGTCCTTGCACAAGCACCGCCTCGTCGACTTCGTCGTGCGTTTCCTGCAGGTCGTCCCCGCGCCACCCCTGAGCCCTGCGCCCCGCTGCTGTGCTGCACCGCACCACACATCTGTGCTGCTGCTCATTCATTTTACTGCTACTTGGTTGTTCCATGCTTTCAACACACACTGCATACACACAGTGCTGCCTTGTATTTGCCCACTCCAAGGTGCCCCATTCCACTGCCCCTGTGCACGCGACCCTCCCCCATGGCCCAGGACATGCACCGCGACATGGGCGAGCTGAAGGAAGCCATCAACGCCAGTGGCCGCGTCGTCGCGGCAGACTTCTTCAAGCAGTTCCTCTGATCGCACGCCTCCTCCCGCATGCCGCCATGTGCTCATACCGTATGAAAGACACGCCAAGACCAAAGGCTAGTTGGGTCCAACTTAGAAATGGTGCCTTCGTGAATCTGTTGAGGTGAATGTGTGATTTGACTTGACCCTGCTGCGATGTGAAGTGCAATCGAGTTGAAAGAACATTTCACCATCAAAGCAAGAAAAATGCCTGCGCACTCCTCTCCCTCTTGCACTCCCATGATGGCCGCGTCGTGCTGCTTTAGCGGCGTCGTCGTGTCGCAGCCATCTCGACGCGCTGCCATGGCGTCGCGCTGTCGTGGCGTCAACGTCCGGCCGTGGCGGCGTCGTCGACGTCCAGCCGTGGTGGCGTGACGGCGCCGTCGTGCTGCCGTCGCAGAATCGACGTCCAGCCATGGCATCGACGCCCATTGTGGCGGCGTCGTTATGCTGCGGTGGCGTCGTCGTCGGGCGACAGCCGCCGCGCAACGCTTGTGGCGCCGCAAGACCTGCCGCCCGCTCGCCTGCTACGGGCGTGATGCTGGACCACGCCTTCCCCCCTCCCCCCCCCCCCCCCCTTTTCCCCTGCATCCCCTCCTCACCACAACCGACGCCTGACTCGTGAGAGTCTTCCCCATCGTCGCGGAGTTTGGCCACGCCGCCGAGAGGGCGGGGGCCGCTGCAGTTGCCTCTGACGTCGAAGCCGCTGTCGCCGCTGCTGTCGCAGCTGGCCGATTGCCGCCGCACGCCACCGCCGCCACCGCTGTCGTCACTGCCGCCGCTGCCGCCGCTGCCATCTCACGGGCCCCGGGGATTGGCCCTGCCGGAGTAGTCGTGGCTGCTGCTGGGAATGGGGGTGCTAGGTTAGGGGGTGTGGGTGTGTGTAAGTTCTTCTACTACCAAGCCTAGGGGGTGTGTTAAATTATTCTTCTAATCATTCTTTCTAGTCTTAACATGGTATCACCAGTAGGTAGGTCCACCCACTCGCTTCCGCCCCGTGCCGCCACCTACCGGCCCCTCGCGCCCCTAGCTGGCCCTGCGCACCCCTACGGCCCCGTCGCTCCCCTAGCTGGCCCCGCGCGCCCCTACGGCCCCGTCGCGCCCCTGATCGGCCCCGTCGCGCCCCTAGCCGGCCCCGCACGTCCCTACGGCCCCTCGCGCCCCTAGCCGGCCCCGTCACGCCCCTACAGCCCTGTCGCGCCCCTAGCCAGCCCCGTCGCGCCCCTACAGCCCTGTCACGCCCCTAGCCAGCCCCGTCGCGCTCCTACCGGCCCCATCGCGCCCCTACGGCCCCATCGCGCCCCTAGCCGGCCCCGTCGCGCCCCTACCGGCCACTTGCGCCCCTAGCCGGCCCCGTTGCGCCACTACGGCCCCTCGCGCCCCTAGCCGGCCCCGTTGCGCCCCTACCGGCCCCTCGCGCTCCTAGCCGGCCCCTCGCGCCCCTACCGGCCCCTCGCGCCCCTAGCAGGCCCCTCGCGCCCCTACGGCCCCTCGTGCTCCTACCAGCCCCCCGCACCCCTACCGGCTCCTCGCGCCCCTAACCGGCCCCACGCGCCCTCGCCGGCCCCGCTCGCCCTAGCCGGCCCCTTGTGCCCTAGCTGGCCCCTTGCGCCCTAGCCGGCCTCGTCGCCTGAGCCGCCGAGCCGCCGTGTCCCCGAGCCGCAGAGCCGAGCCGTTGAGCACCCGCGCCACCGAGCCGCCTAGCCGCTGAGCCGCCGAGCCGTCGAGCCGTCGTGTCGCTGCGCCGCTGTGCCGCTATCAAACTGTGCGATGGCGGACGCCGTTCTTCGCTTGGACGCTGAGGGACACACGATCGACTTCGCCGCCTGGCTCGTCGACCTCCGTCGGCACCTGACGGGTCAGCGCAAGGATGGACACTCCCTGGCTATGCATGTTGATGGTTTGCTTCCCTGCCCCCCTGCGCCTGATGCCCTCCCTGCTGACCCTACCACTGCTGAGAGCGAGGCTTTTGCTGCTGCTGCGCTTGCTCGAGCTGTCTGGGATTCTCGCGACGCAGTAGCTCAGCTTGCCATTAGCCATGCCCTCCCCCTGTCTGATCGTCCGCGCTTTACCGCTGTCACGAACGCCAAGGACTTTCTCGCTGCAGTAGTTGAGCATTACTCCACACCTACTTCAGCCTCTGCTGGCCGCTTGATCCTACCCATGCTCTTCCCTGATCTTTCTGCTTTCCCCAGGGTACCTGACCTCGCTACTCACCTCCGTGCACTAGAGACGAGGTACCGCGCTGCTAGCTCTGCCGCCCAGCTTACTGCCTTCCCCCCACCTTTCTGCGCTACCCTGTACCTCATCGTCATGCGCCTGCCTGACCACTTAGCCACTACCCGCGACCAGTTCCTTGGTCAGCACCCTGCTGACCTCACCCTGACCGCCTTTGTCACTGCTTTGTCTGAGATAGAGACTCGCAAGCGCACTATCGCTCAGTCGAGCAGTATTGCGGCAGTCCCTATTTTTCAGGGCTGTGCTCCCTCCTAGTGCACGTACGCTGACATCTCCGCCGCAGTTGCCACAACTGCGCTTGCACCTAAGACAGCAGCTGCAGCTTACCCGCAGCAGCGCCAGCGCCGGGGCCGCCGTGGCCCCAAGGGAGGACGTGGAGGTGGCGCTAGTGGTGGTGGTGGCGGGGACAGTGGTTTTGACGAGGGGGTTGGTGTTGGTGCCCAAGAGCAGCAGCAGTCGCCGCAGTCGCAGCCGCCGCAGTCGCAGTCACCGCAGCAGCAGCAGCCGTCACAGCAGCAGCAGCAGCAGCAGCAGCAGCAGCCGTGGGCTCGTCTCCCGCCCGGGTGGTCAGAAGCCCCTGGCGGTAAAGGTCATGGTGGTGGCCCTCACAGCTCGGCGTCCACCGGCAGCTTCGGTGCTGTGAGCTGCCAGTACCAGCTTCAGACCGGGCCCTTGCGTGGCACGGTGTGCCACCGCCCGCACCCAACCGCCCGCCGCTTCCGCCGCCTCGACGACCTCTTTAGTCGCCGCTTTGGTCCCGCCCCCGACCTCCCTAACTGGCCCAGCCTGCTCCGCTACGGTGTGCCTCTATTTGACTTAGACATGGATCAGATTATTTCTGCCTTGCATTCTCTCTATGTTGACGCTTCGAGTGTTTCCGGATCGTATTACTCTGTGTTCTCTAGCTTAGGCCTAGCACCTGTGTGTAGTCCACCTTGCTTCGTCAGGCGTAAAACACCTTGTTGCGTCAGGCGTAGGACACCTTGCTTTGTCTAGCCTAGGCTCTACCCTTGCTCCTCCGTCGCCTGCCACTATGGCGTCGCTGTCCTTCACTCTAGACTCTGGTGCGTCAGCCTGTTTCTTCCGCGACCACACCGCCCTCATGCCGCTTGCTGCGCCTGCCGCTGTCGCCCTTGCGGACCCCTCCTCTAGTCCAGTAGTTGGTCGCAGCTACTCTACCTTTCCCTGTCCGGCGGTTCCCTCGGGTTCCCTTACAGGCCTGCACATCCCTTCATTCTCCAGGACCTTAGTTGGTGTCGGCTGTCTTCAGGACCTCGGCGTCACCACTAAGTTCCCTGGTCACGAGTGGTACGCGGTCAGTACCGAGGCCGCCTCAGGTGCCCCCCTTGCGACTTTCCCCCGGGACCTGTGTCTGGCTTGTTTACAATGGACATTGCTCCCCCCCCGGCGAGCGAGTCCTCCTCTTGTCCTGTGTCCACCCAGGTAGCTGCAGCCTGCTCGTGTCGGTCGCTCACACACTCGTCACTGTTGTGGCACCACCGCTTAGGTCACCCCGCGCTCCCCCGCCTGCGTTACATGTCTCAGCACGGTCTAGTCCTCGGCCTCCCTGCGTCGCTCCCTGCTCTCCCTCCCTCGACTGTGCCACCGTGCACGCCCTGCGTCGAGGGCCGGCTGTGCCATGCTCCTCACTCCTCCTTACTTCGCCCTGCCACTGCACCCCTTCAGACCCTGCACTTGGACGTCTGGGGCCCACACCTGTCCCTGGACTGCGTCGTGGGCGCTACTTTCTTGTGCTCGTTGACGACTTCACGCGCTACACCACGGTGTTTCCCTTGGAGCAGAAGGCCGACGTACCTGACGTTCTTAAACCGTGGCTCGTCGCTGTGCGCCTCCACTGCGGTCTCCCTATGCTGTGTCTCCACTCCGACCATGGTGGCGAGTTCGCCTCTGGTCGGCTGGGTCAGTTCTATCGTTCGGAGGGTATCACCCTGACGTACACCCTACCGGACTCCCCGCAGCAGAATGGGGTCACTGAGCGACGCATCGGTTTGGTCATAGAGGTGGCTCGTACCTCCATGATCCATGCCATTGCACCCCATTTTCTTTGGTCGTTCGCCGTTTGCTACGCCGCTCACCAGCTTAACCTCTGGCCTCACTCTCAGCGGCCGTAGGTTTCGCCGACCCTTCTTTGGACCGGGTTCCCTGGTGACGCGTCTGCATTCCACGTCTGCAGCTGCCTCGCTCACGTTCGTGCCTCCAGCACGGACAAGCTCACTGCCCGCACCATCCCCTGTGTCTTCCTCGGTTTCCCTCTTGACTCGTCTGAGTGACAGTTCTACCACCCGTCGTCTCACAGCTTCCTTCACTCCTGTGACGTCACTCTCGACAAGTCTGTCTCCTTTTTCCCCCGCTTTCCTCACCGAGGTCTCCTGGTCCACCCCCCCCCTCTATCTCTGGTTCCCACTCCCCCGGTCGCCCCTGCTCCCCTCCCTCCCCGTCCTACGTAGTTTGCGCCGCCTGTCCCTCCTCCGGTGTCTCCTCCTCCCTCGTCGCAGTCGCCGCCGAAGCCGCCGCCGTCACTGCCACCGCAGTCGTAGCCGTCGTCGCAGCCGCAGCCATTCGTGGACTCTGGGGGTGCTGGAGGTGGAGAGGGTGCTAGTCCTGGGGCTCCTGTCGTGGCTTGTCCCGGCGGGCTCGGGGGTGGCACCGGCACTGGAGATGTTTCTCGTTCTGGGGGTGCTAGCGTTGAGTGTACCGAAAGTAGCAGTGGTGCAGCTGGTGGTCCAGGTGTCGGCGTTGAGCAGCAGCAGCAGCAGTTGTTGCCGCTGTCCGCCCTTCGCCTGCTCGGCCTTCCCTCCCCTGACCGCTCGCTTGTGCCTCCCTCGTCGTCTCCCCCTCTTCCTGTTCACGTCCTGTGTTTCCTCCGCCAGACTTGTCCCCGGCTCGTTTCCCCTCTCGTTCCCCTCTTGTTACTCCTCCTCTGTTTCCTGACCCGAC